ACCTTCCATATCTAAAGTAGACTATTATATAATCAGTGCGTCGGGCACATATGACCAGACGGCGCTACAGCGGAGATAACAAATGATCTGCTAAATTCACTGACAGCTGGTATCTAGTGACAGGAACATGTCTAATCATACATGCAAAAGATTTCATTACAATACTCTAGTCTGCAGACGCTATTGTCTTTCATAGCTAATCTATCAACTGCTTTTCCGGATAAATAGATTGATTTCTGCATTTTCCTTTTTCTTTTATAGGAAAAAATTCAATACTGCAGCGTATGAAAGAGGGCAGCTTGTTTGTAGAAATTTTATCAGTTATACATAAAATTAGACCGTAGTAACAGAAAACGAAATACACTAACTCTAACAGAAAACATCTCTCTTCAAGGGGTGACTAATAAATCTATGAACAATTTCTTGTCACACCGCGAGGATGACCATTTGAAAGTAACTATTTGATGTTCACGGTAATGGTAAATGTTTATGATAGGATCGCACCCGTCAGAGACGAAATCCCCGACTCCCGCCAACAAGGTTGGGGGATCCCGTGGGGAATCGGGGTTTTGGGGGGGGGGGGGTGATTTCGTTCATACAAATGCATTTTAAAAAGCAAAAGAATGTGGGAAATTGAAAATCCGAGCCAAGGATAGTATTTCAGATGACAAAGAAAGTGAAAAATGTAGGAATCCGAGAGAAGATTCGGCCACGGATGATTCGATACGGTGTTGCGCGAGCGAACGATCGAGTGAACCGTATCTTAAACGCACGAACGACCAGTAGGATCGCCGTATGAACCAAAAAACCTTCCTAAGCCGGGGGCTACGCCCCCAGACCCCCTCCCGATTGCCATGTTTCCCTACCGGGGGCTCCGCCCCCGGACCCCCTCCCGATTACCGTATTTCCCTCTCCCGATTATCTAGCTTCCCTACCGGTGCCTTTATATCGCCACTGACTACACTTGAAATACAAAATGAATTTACCTTAAAGTTGGGGGACGGTGGTTGGGAAGTGACGAACCGCAGACGAAATTCTACAACTGGAACACGGTTATTGTATTTCACTGAGTTTCGTGTTATCTCCGATATTGTAACGATTTCAGTGAGAGATCGATTTCACCGCAAAGTTGGAAAAAATCGGAAACGCTAGTAGCACTGTAAACAACCTTCACCTTTGAAACAAACAACGAGAACTGTAACAACAGAACTGTCAAATTTGCCGAGAGAGGGCAGTAATGCGCAAGTATGGATATACCAGGTATTTCTAATGAACTATGGTGCATATATGGTAAAATCGTTCACATCGTGTATCTGAGGAATGAACATTTGATAAATGCGTTTTTCGTTAAAATTTCATATAAATTAGAATACAGAAATACATTTTACTACAGTGCATTTATAAGAAATTTGTCGTGACGTCACTAGTTACATGCGCCAAAACAGTTCCCGCGCAAGGTCTATATAAGTACTTATATAGACCTTGTTCCCGCGCAGTTAAGTGGTTCGCTGCGACGCGAGGGGGTTGGACTTTGTCGCTGGAGGCTCGTGGGGACTTGTCCCCGCGCGGCATTCTGCGCGCCAACTTTTCCTCATTTAACTCGAAGAGGTTCGCTTCTGCAAGTCAATTTTGATAGCAATGCATGTAGTTTTGCATCGCCTACAACGCTATGATCTTCAATTTTCTCCTAGTCGGTGCGGTCCTATCGTATACCTTAACCATATATATATACATATATATATATATATATATATATATATATATATATATATATATATATATACATATACATATATTTAGTTATTAAATTTGTTTTATCTTTTTTTTCGCTGTGACCTGCTACCAGGTGGCGGGGAGGCTCTAGAACGAAAGAGGTTCTTGAAATGTTTCGCTCAATTGGTTCCTCATTGTCGGCTTCATTTCTAAGAATTCCCAAAGGCAGTAACAAGCTATTCAGAAGTAATACTTGCTAGTATATCTATATATGCTCACTTTTATGCGATGTAAAATGTATATTTGATTGATTAACACTGACTATCAGTTGCTATTTGTACATATGCTTAATTCGTAGAATCAGGACAGAAAAGCATCTACGTGATTAAGGAAGCGTCATCTTTTGTTGTTTCATCTTCAATGTTATCTGGGGGAATATATATATATATATATATATATATATATATATATATATATATATATATATATATATATATATATATTATATAGATAAGATAAGAATCAGAGTTCTTGAAGGTGGAGAGGAAGAAGTGTTAGCTTCCTAACGAAAATGAAACAAGGTAAAGAATAAAAGATAGGGGGCGTAACCCTTTGCTTTATATATATATATATATATATATATATATATATATATATATATATATATATATATATATATATATATATATATATATATATATTATATATACATATATATATATATATATATATATATATATATATATATATATACATATATATATATATATATATATATATATATATA